TTACCTACACTGATAAACAAAGAGGAAAATACAGACAACAACAATATAACAAAACGCAAACCCACACAAACCAGAAGAAAAGGAAAAAAAACCCCAGATGAAAACGAACAACCACAAAAAAACTCTAACAACCTCTGAACAACAACAAAAGAGAACAAATCAAATCACATCTCCCCCGCCAGACAGACTCTGTCACTTTTGCATGTCTTTATCCCCGCACCGTTGACCCCCGCCTGATGGCCTGGTCTGACCTCACAGCACAAGGTCAACTCACGAGAGGAGAACATCAGCCTGGCTATCACGCTCGTGGTGTCTTGATCCTCGTGCTAGAAGAGGAGTCGAAAGGCATTCCCTGAATCGTGAGGATTCCACGTGTCCATGAGGGATGATGAAGGGCTGATTTGTTTCAAAATTCTTTTTACAACTTATCTTTTTGTTTTTCTTAGATTTGGTTTCGTTGGCAAAAAAAAACCATTGAAAAAACTCTCTACAGTTGGGCGCGTGTCTTTGTTCTTCTTAAAAGTTCAGAAGCACTATACACAAAGGTGAGTAAGAATTATGGGAACGAACCCATAATAAACCTGAAATTTGATACATTTTTTCGTCCCTCCCCCTCCTCTTACATACAAGGAAACATCTGTAAAAGATTTAATTACGAACGATGTTCGTCTATAAATTCTTGCATTGACATTTCCTTTAACGAATGCAGCAAAACTGAAGACAGACGAGTGGTTTTTTGGGGGGTGGTTTGAGGGGGGCGGGGCGTATTTAGTTCCCTGTCTTTCCAGAGAGAAAAAAATGTTTTGATGACAGAATGAGTCATAAATTCGGCCCAGATTTCTTTCAGACAGGAAAAGAAATACTGAGAGAAAACGTTCCCGAGATCGTAGAGGGGAGGTGCATGACCCCCCCCCCCCCAATATGATGTTTTACAGTATTCAAATAAGGGAGGAAAAAGGGGGTTGGGGGGGGGGGTATAGGGTATCGCAGTGCGTTCGTGCATATTGCTGGCATTCATCTATTACGTCTCTGCCAACGTTCTGAAAGTGCACATTTCTGGATACAATGTATTTCTTCCTACAGTCTCAACTCAAGAACTGAAACTGCACAATTTAGAATGGGAATTTACATATAAACCGTTTGTTTAAACGTTGATGAAATCGCTAACAGACTCAAATTAGAAAAGGCTGTATAAAAGACACAATAGTGCTGGAGACGTCAGCAATCACAGAGAGGTTTTTTTGTTTTTGTTTATTGATTATCTTTTTCTCTTTCGCCGGGGTGCAGGGTAGGGGATGGAGGCCGGGTGCAGGGTGTTGGGTGGGGGGTGGGGGCGGAGTGAGGTATTTCTGGTCCAGGAAATGAAAGTCGTATAAAATAGACAGATAAAACAGTCGTGGGATCTACTAGACACTCCTACTTCTTGCAAGCCGGATTTAAAAAACAATAAATGTTCTGAGCTTCAAATCGACAAAATTTTGATGATTTACAAAGCGAACTACTTCGAGGTTGCCTGTTAGTGCCGGTCTGGGCTGAAAAGGAAACATCATCCTTGTAGACTAAGAGATATACTCCATAGAAAAACTTCTCCACTCAGGAATAAAACCCATGCCTTCTTCATGCAAGAGCAAAGAACCTTTCCATTACACCAAAGATTCCTGCAAGTTGTTGCTGTAATACTTCCAGAAACAAAGAAGGTCATTTCCCATTCGGTTCCCCTCCACGACATCGAGGTGAAAAGAAATATTCCAGGTAGGACGACCAAGATAAATCGGACTCTGTTCGGATTTGAGGCTTCTGCACCATCAAAAGACTTGCTGAGAATAATACATACTACATAGGACAAAAGCATGGCTCGGAAGGAACACCCACTGGCCGTCCGACGAATGAATGTGTGACAAGGAGCAGCTGCTATGCCTGGATCAGACCACTCGTCACAACAGGAAAGACAA